GGTGGTTGGTGAGGGGTGGGGTGGGGGGGGGGGGGGGGGGGGGGGGAGAAAAAAAAAGAAAAAAAATTGGCTTGAAATTAAATGCCACGGTTTTTTGTTCTATCTCAATATTGTCTTAATGTCAGGGTTAAGTCCTTTGTTCTCTCTAGACCTTGGTTCCCCTATCTATCAGTTGAAAGGGTTAAACTAGATGAACATTAAGGTGTAGGTTGTGCCCTTAACATGCTCTGAAAATATCACAGGCGTTTGTTGGTCTTGGCATGTAACCTACATGGGGTCCATGTATCTTCACCTGGATTATAGCATTTGGGCGGCAGACATAAGCAGAGGAAGAGCAGACTCCTTGACAGTTCTTTATAGGACTAAGAGAAGCACAGGCTTCACCCCCTATTTCATAAAGTGTGTATAAAATAAAACTAGCAGGAATTTAAAGGAATTGAGCTTAACATTGCTTCACAGCAGCCCTCACTCCCAGAAGAGTCCAATTTTTCCTTTTCAGGCAGTTTCTGGAATGTCTCTCCCTACACACGGTTGCTCACTTGTTCCTTTTGACTTAAATGGAAAAATCTTCCTTCTTGTTTCTCCATTTGGAAGACGCAAACAGAACAACTCCTGCAAGCACCTTTAGACAAATAGAACAGGAGAGAAGAGATCGATGATGAATCTGTCTGAGAAAAGGTCAGCAAGACTGACGGAACAAAAAAAAAGTCACCCTACCCGGGCCCCCATTAGAGAAGGTGTACCATTAGGGACATAGCCCAGCAAGGACTGGAAAGAAACGTAATAAGCTTCAGGTTAGAGAGATAAGCAGATTGTGTTTCTGAGTTGGCATCCTTCATCTGAGCAGAGAATCGATGCCCCTCTCCGTGACCAGGGAAAGGGTTTGTTGGTTGGCTCTTCTGTCTGTCCTGCCTCACCATCTTTCCACACTCATTTCTCAGTGGCAACTCCCCCTCTCTACTACCCCCATCCCTGCTGTTGCACCCAAAGAGAAAAATAACTCTAAACCTTACAGAACCTTCTACTTTCTAAAGCACTCTCACATACATACTATGCTCTTGAAACCTTCTAACCACTCTGGGAGGAAGGCAGGTAGGTTCTCAACCTCACCTTCCTGATAAGTCTGAGGCTGAGAAGGAGGAACCCTTTGCCCAAAGTCATGCAACATTCGAGCCCATCCCAAATTGACAAGTCTCCTTTCTCATCAAGTCAGGTTGCACCTAATAGGGCTTATGGTCAGAGAATGGGGTGGCAGGAGAGAATTCTGGCAGAGACAGTTAAGAACAGAACACAAAATTTGGAGAGGGTGTTATTTTCTAAGTTTCAGGTTCTGCCTAGTGCCCAGTGCTACATCTCTAGTCCCAAAGCCTTTCTGTTTTAGATGATGGGGAAAGAGGGAAGGGACAGAGCCAGACCATTCTAGATTCATGGCTGTACTCCTTGTATACCTGCGAGATACCTCTTTGGGGTTCTCCAAGACACCCTTGGCTCAAGAGGCCACAGTCCAACCTGCAAAGCTAATGACGTGTGACAGTCACCTCAGTCAGATCCAAATTCATGGTCAAACCCTGGTATCCAGATCTTATCAGTTGTGATCCTTCACCCATCAAACCTAGATGTCTCATGCCCAGTGAAAACAGAAACACCCTTCATCCAAATGCCCGGTATAAAAACTCTCTCCTTTGCATCTCTTTCGTTGATGATGATGCATATGTGTATTCTTTTGAGACTGTTTTCATAATCCAGCATCCCACAGGGGTTCAAGGCATGCCAAGTACATGTCTGCCCACTAGTGCACTTGAGAGGACAGAGACCTGGAAAGAGAAAGCAGCCTGCCAAAGGCCAATGGCCTGGGTGAGGACCCAGACAGGCCTACTCCACGAGTGGCACATTTTCCACCTCGACACTCTATTGCCCTTGGCAGCCGTTCCCTTCCAGGTGATCACCTGAGTGGGGCTCAGTTGAGCCATGAATTGGTCCAAGGTGCTGAGAGGGAAAGTGTCCTGGGCCAGTGGAGGAAGAGGTGGTGTATTTCCCTTGGCTTGGTGGCCATCAAATGCAGACACCCCTCACCCCCACCCACCACTGCCTCCTGTTCTGTACAACGAGTCCCTTCCTTTTGCCTTTATTTGCTCTGGAGATGGCTGAAAACCAGTCCTTGGCTGCCAGCAGGACCCGAAGCTGAGGTCACATCTTTCTCTTTGGAAAGACTCTGGGGATGGAAAAGTACAGCAGGCCTCTCAGTTCATCTCCTTTGAAACATAAAGGGCCTACTTGGGACTCTGCCTAGATATCAAAACATTGCTGAATGTCAGAACTGGGAGAAATCTCAGAATCGTAGAATTTTAGACTGTGGGCCTCAGAATCAGACCCTTAGAATGCAAAGCACAGAATCTGTGTTGTAGTTATTAAATCTGATTTGAGCAGAAAGTGTTTATAGAGCAATGCAATCCAGTAGAACTTTCTGAGATGATGACAAATTCTCTATCTGTGTTGCCCAATACGGTAACTGTTAGCTCAATAACCTGCGGGTATTAAACATTTGAAATGTTGCCAGTGCAAATGAGGAGTAACATTTCAAATTGTATTTCATTTTAATTAATTATTTTGGGAGGGGGTCAGAGCACTCATCAGAGAGAGAGTGAAAGAGAAAGCACCCCCAATGAGCATGGTTATGCCACCATCCTTTCACCTCCATTTCTCCACCCTGTCAGGACTACTGGCATGCATACATACCTGGCATGTTCTCAAGTCGCCGGGGTCATGATTTGAATTGTAGTCAGCACACGGATTCTGGCTCCTCATGTACAGAGCTTAACCACTACTCTATAAGGCCAGCCCTTAATTAAAATCTAAATGGCCACATGTGGCTGGAGGTTACTATATTAAAGTCATTCTAAACTTCTACAGAAGCAGTGTAGCATAAAGGTTAAGTTCATGGCTCTGCAGCCATAATGCACAAATTCAAATACTGGCTCTGCCTTTTGGCAATTATGTGACCTTCAGAAACTAATTGTACCAGACCAGCAGATGGTGTAATGGCTACGTTGCTGGACTCCCACGTAGTCGACCATGGTTCGAGTGGCTTAAACTCACACCAGGCACATGTGCATGCGTGCCCAAGATCCCGAGAGGAGAATGGAGGAGAAGGGATTGTGGTGTGGCCATCCTCCCTGGGAAGTGACTTCTTGCTTTCTG